AAAAAAACTGTTGTTAGGTTAGGTTCGTGGCCCACTGTGTTTCTCTTACCCTGAATTTGAGGATAAAAACATATTACGAATTCCTGAGAGCTGCTGTTTAAGTCCCACTGTAGCCATAGGACCTCAAGAACAAGGGACTACAAGTGGACTCGAGCCTGGGACCGCGAGCTGTTTGATACTGGCCCGTTCCTCTCCTACACTCACAACTCCTTCCCCGGCGTTGCGATCCAGCGTGGCGGTCACCCGTTTAGTCTGCACATGTAAACAGATAACTAATATTCAACGAGTTTTTGTTCCTAAATATCTTCCTTCAAACCACATTTCTCGTCGATATTTCTTTTTGTTTTATTCCTTTTAGTAATGTAATGTAACTATTTTCTGTTTTTGTCTTTCGTCTTAAATTCGTTGATAATTTAATGACCTTCCAAGGCGAATTAACATGAGTATGTACAGGTATATTGATGGCAAAAACCGGTTCTTACATCTTTTTTCGTCCGAATTTCAACTCGTCGCTTGATCAAACACGGGAACTGAGTTATCTCTCTCCAGCAGCTGCAGCTCTCTCTCTCTCTCTCTCTCTCTCTCTCTCTCTCTCTCTCTCTCTCTCTCTCTCCTTTAGCCGTAACTGGTGTTGTGGTGAGGTATGCAACAGTTGTGTCGGGGGAGCGTCCAGTGGTGGGGAGGCTTTTCACTACGGCAAGGAACTGAGACGAACATAACACATACAAGTTAACTGACCTACTTTGTACAGTACACGTAACGTAAGGAATTTTATATTTTCTACTACTACTACTACTACTACTACTACTACTACTACTAATAATAATAATAATAATAATAATAATAATAATAATAATAATAATAGCATATCACCCGCAACAAACCGAAACAAGTTACCCGAAACATTAATTGTGTGTGTGTGTGTGTGTGTGTATGTATGTGTGTGTGTGTGTGTGTGTGTGAAAGGAAGAGCTAAAAATAGAGGAAAATGGAAAGCGATTGAGAACGTAGAGCCGAGGGAGAGAGAGAAAGAGTGACTTAAAACATAAACTCCAGTAATACTTGACTCACTCTCAGCTGCTGTGATGACACTTAGGTTGAGTGCGTCCACACATTTGTACAAGTCAAACACAGATTCCTCCTCCCCACGTTAAATATGAAGAAAATCCAACAATAGTACGGTTCTCGAGGGCATGAGTCGGTGAATCCTCCTGAATGGCGAGTCTTTTTAGACATTTCTTAAGTATCCCTTGAAACTTTTCCGTTTTCTTTAATTCTACGAAGGAAAATTATAAACAGATCTGAGAAAAGCTTTAGTGAATATGAATTTCGTATATAAGGAGTCATGTATCAATATTCGGAGTAACTTGTGAGTAAGCGATGTTAATGTTTATGGAGATATAACCTTATGGCTTTGTCCATCGTGCTCGTATGACGTCAGTTACTAAACATTTGGGTCTTCGAGGGGCAAGAGTCATCAACTAAACAACGGAGAAAATTCATATTTATTCTTGCCAAAAAATCAGATGAATAAAAGAACGTGAAGAGTAAGGGTTTACGCCAGCCATTGTTTACACACACACACAAACGATCATACGAAGGAAAAGTAAACGCGGCACAAACAATGGTTGAGTCTGTTGAGAACTTGTGAGTTACCGCCGCGTCTGGCCGCATTGTTCCCTCCTGCTGGTGTTGGTGAAGGCTGCCACACACATACACACACACACACACACACACACACACACACACACACACACAGCGTAATAGATCAGTTTTCTTGCTTATGTATGACCAGGAAAATGACCATGCCACACTGACGGGCGACACATACACTTAACCTGTACTGAGGTATATAGTTGACAGCGACCAAGCACACCCCGAGCACTTAACATTTACCTGTCATAAGGTTACCACTCTTCAAACACCCACAAGGTAGAGATGAGGCGGTGGAGTGGATACAGTGTTCAGAACAGGACGCCTTCAGTCTATCCAGCTGTAAATAGTTACCTAACTTTAGAATTAGTGAAGTGAGACGGTCGAGTGCATTGCAGCCTTGTGTACTGAAGGTTTAGTACTATGGATTTCGATTTATCCACTCTGTTCCTATGGGATCTATTTCACTTACTATCATAGATTCATTGATCACTTCTCACACTTCAGTTAAACCTCAAACAGTCAGTAGGTGCTAAACCTAAGTCAGGTGTAAGGTATTTGACCTTTATGTGGCTCACAGCCAGTCAATAAACACCAAGCAGTACTGGTACTTGACCTTTACTGAACACTGAGTCAATAATCACCAGGTAGGCGTGAGATGGGTTACCTTGGTGAGGAAGCTGGTGCTGGTGGTGACAGGTGGGGGGGGGGTCCTCGTGTCCATCATTTACCTGCACCATCATGCCTTGGAGGACCTGTGCTGCTGCTAGGGGAGGAGGAGCTACGGAGTGTGCTAAAGGTGAGGGTGGAGGAGTGAGGGAAGCGGCGGAGCGTGTTGGAGGTTAAGGGTGTGAGGTTAGGAGGGTGGAGAACGCCAAGTGTGGTGAGGGCCAGGGTGGGGGACTGACAGAGGCAACAGAGCGTACGTACGACGGTGGTGATGCGTGGAGTTGACGGTAGCTGTACGTAGGAATTGTAAAGTAGGGCGCGGAGGTAATAGGGATGAATTTGGTGACTAAGAGTGGTTACTGTAGATAGGATAACGGCCGGATGAGATGGAAATAGTGAAGTGGTTGCTGTTGTTGTAGAGCGTGCATGGTGAGGGATGGTGTAGTATGGTCTTTCCACCACCACGTAACCAGGAAGACTCGGTGACATCCCTGGTAGTGAGGCTTGACTGTACAGTGACCCGCTCGACGCTGTCACTACATCACCACACACCGCGGATAGAGTTGAGGCCTTAGCAAAACTCGCGTCTGACAAAACCACTAGTTTAGTGGAGTACCCCAAGGCTCAGTACTTGGACCTTTACTATTTATAATATACATAAACGACATAGATATAGGTGTAGACAGCAACATACGTAAATTTGCTGATGACACTAAAATAGGGCGTGAAATCAAATCTGACGAGGACTCTGCAAAACTAAAGAAAGATCTAAACAAAAAATTCGAATGGTCTAAAAATGGCTGATGAAATTTAATGTGAACAAATGTAAAGTACTTCGTCTAGGAAATGTAAACAGAGAAACCAGATATCAGATGAACAACTTTGATATAGAGGAATCCGACTGTGAGAAAGATTTAGGAGTAATGATAAGTAGGAATCTTAAACCAAGACAACAATGTGTATTTGCTCGAAACAAAGCTAATGAAGTACTTGGGTTCAAACAAAGGAGTGTTAGTTACAAGACTAGCGAGGTCATCCTAAAACTATATCTACACATTAACACACACACACACACACTACCACTACACACCACCACTACACACCACCACTATGCACCACCACTTTCTCTTCCGTTGATATGAATGTCACACTGGGACACAATACTTGTAAAGATATTCAGAATCAAACGTTACTCTTTAAAATATTTCGAAAAGTTGTGAGATATTGAAAACCAGTTCTGCCTTCTCGGTTTTCTAGATGTTAGCTGAGGTGCAGTGGGCAGGCGTCACTCATTCCCATCCTGCAGCCGCTACTGTAAGGTTGTCACTCCTTCACATCCACCACCTGACTCCCTCCCTTGTCATGCGATTATTTTACGAAATCCATAATGTTTTACACACTTCTCTGAGCTCATCTTCGTGTATATATATATATGTGTGTGTGTGTGTTTGTGTGTGTGTGTGTGTGTGTGTGTGCGTTAGTTTAAGATCCGGCTTGGGTTGTGGTAAGGATAAATACGAAATATTTATATTGTGGATACAGCACTTAACAGTGTTTGCCATATGCCACTCCTGACTTACAAGACGCCCTCCCCCTCCTCCCCTGACGTATTGTGGATATCTTTCTAGTAAACAATTGACTCCCCTTCTCATCATGGCACCTCTGAAGTAATCCATCCAGTTATTAAGTAAGTTATATAAAGGTGTTCCTGTATGAGCTGTACCATCAACACACCCACGTCCAACCTGTGTCATTGTCTGTTAGTGTCGCAAGCCTGAACACATGAAGCCAGTGACCCTCTTGAATAATGGCATCAGTTGTCTAAATGATGGATAACAGGCGAAGATCTACCAGCCAGGTTTACACTTGGGTCCGGTTCACTCACATCAACATTAATAGCCACGTTATATCGCGTAAAGTCCCTTGAGTTAGCCAGGGATAAGGGTGACTGGCACACACACACTGGACAACACCCGTAACGTGTGGCTCGTTTAGTATATCATATGAGCTGTATTACTTCTGGTAAATATTTCTTCTGATATTTAATTCTATCTGGATTTTTTCTCTTTTTCGTTTCTTAAAATATAATGTTTATTCTCAAAAGACTACAAGTATAAGATAAATTTAAAAGCTTCAAGGGAGAAATATCAGAATAAGTAGAAGCTTCACTGGTGAGAGTCAGAATGTATCAACTACTGTAAGTGTAGAAGTACTGTAGTGGCCGCTACCTTCACAACTTACTACTGCACATGATGTTCCCACCACCACCTCCACCACACGCTTACATTATACAGAACTCTCACTCATTCCTCAACCATACCTCACCCCCTTGCAGGCTCACCCCTAACACCTCACCTCCTTTTGCCCTCTATGAGTCTATGATTCTCTCTCCTCTCTCGCGTTGGTCACTCACTGCCCCGTCGTCTGGGTACTCCTGGTTTTACTGTCACTCATCACAGCATTTTCTGGGACGCTGGACACTCCCTCACTCACTGTTAGATATTATTATTTATTTTATATCCAGGATGTGTGTGTGTGTGGAGGGGGTTTAATAAAATTAATGTATGTTCCTTCATATTTGTATACATGCATACAGTACACACACACATACACACACACACACACACACAGTCACCGATATTCACGGACTAACATCAGTATTATTTTTCTTGTTGCAGATTATCTGGCAGTGTGGAAAGTGATGTGCCTCCTCCACCACCCGCTTCCCGCCCACCTCCACCGCCCTTACACCCACCACCACCCGTGCCGCCCCATGGCCAGCCCCTGCCACAACCCCCTCAACAGCCTCTGCCGCCCGTGCCTGGTCACCGGCAGGAGGAACATGTGTACCATCAAGAGCTTCCCCCCCAGGCCCCGGGCACCTGCACCCTTCCAAGAAGAGGAATCGTTAGAGAGGAACCCAACGGTCGCTACAGATCTCCCTCCAACCCTCCACCAGCGTCCCGCCAGCCCCCGCCCTACTCCAGACATCAGCCCCCAGACCCTCTCAGGAGGCCTCGTGGTCCATACCAGCCCCCGCCTCCTCCCAAAATTGATATCAGAGAACCCCGAGAACGGGACCTGCGAGGTCTCCACGGTGGCAGGGAGTCCCGCGACACAGATCACAGAGACGTACGAAACTCGCGCAACTTGGAGGACACAGACCCCAGGGACCTAAGAGATCCTAGGGAACGTGATTCAAGAGATCACTGGGACGGAAGAGACTTCCGAGGATCTCACGACTCGAGAAGCCACCAGGATCCCAAGGATGTACGAGATCCTCGCCACTTCCGAGAGATAAGAGAGTGTTGGGAAAGACGGAACTCTGGAGTGCCCCGAGAAGACCACCTCACGAGTTCCGCTCTGCCTCGCCCACAGTATGAGTCCTGGACGCCTCAAAATAACAGATGGTCGACTCGGGATCCAGACTCAGGGTTCGACTCTCTCAACTCTCCGGCGATGGACGCTGGTCCCCGCTCCTTAGATTCTCCAAGTGGACGTAATGGACGCCCAATGACGGCTGCAGGGATCGCCTCTGCTGACACTCCATACTCACAGTCAACTGAGGACTTGCTCAATGCCTCCAGAACCTCACCGGTGTCCATGTCCTCAGTCACAGCGTCTACTTCCTCTGTGTCGTCCTCACCCGTTCAGTACCCAACAATCCGTCCAGCAAAACAGCCTTGTGTAACCGGAGCCTCGCATAGTTCACCACATCCTCATTGCTCACCACATCCCCCCAGTGAGTCCCCACACGGACTGGGTCTCCCTCATCACCATTCAACGCCTGTAGGACCTCAGCGATCTGCATCACCTGAGGGAGCTCTCCTCTCCGACAGCGTGTACCCTCAACACGAGACTCAGCCCCGCTATGCCGAGATCCCAGACGTCATTGAATCCAGAAATAAGGAGGACCGGCTGAACCATCGGCTCTCTCGTGACTTACGAGACATTAGAGATGTGCGTGACTTAAGAGATGGCAGAGATCTAAGAGAATCCAGAGAGATAAAACGAGATATGAGAGACTTCAAAGACAACAGGGAACAGCGGGACATGAGAAACAACAGTGAACCCAGAAGTAATAAAGACACGAGAACGTCAAGGGAACTCAGAGACACGAGCTTACCGCGGGACTTAAGGGACAACCGTGACTCCAGAGTTTACATGGAGGTGCGGGAGGAGAGACACGTTCGTGACGGAGAGACGAGGGGCTACCGAGAACTCTCAGTGGACGTCGAGGATCATGATGTCCTGGAGTCTCGTCAGGAGAGATTGAGAGGTCGTCGGGACTCTCGTCAATACGCGGGAGAGCGTTCAGAAGGGGGCAAGGAGGTGAGGTTTAGTAGTGATCCAAGTGATGGACTCCGAGTGAGGGACGCCCCGTCCTTTGACCGTCGGGACAGGGACGCGGACGGCGCCGACGGACTTCAAGTAATCGAGGATCGACGAGGGTCTTCCCACACAAGGGAGGGAGGCCAGCAGGACTCCCGGCGTGGCGACGGTTGCACCTCCTCCTCCGTGTCCTGGATGGAGTGGACTCAGCAGCTACAGGTGAGAACACCTTTTGGTTTTCCAGTTGTGTACAGTACCTCAGCTGACTGTCGCCTTATTTTATGAAATTCAGCTTTTCAAACACTCAGCTAATTTAGGCCATAAAGTTGTCATGAAAAGCAGCAATACTTTGTAAATTTATTGATACAAATTGTTAGCATGAAGTACTGTAGAAAAATCTTGTTGTTTTCTCTTACAAATAAACTTGCGGGACCATACAACTCTCAATACATATTCACGATGTTGTGTGTTGACCTAAGGACCCTGACCCCCCCCCCCCTCCCAACAGGCGTACGTTGCGTGGGTCAACTCGCAGCTGAGGAAGCGAGGACGGCCACTCATCTCTGACCTGAGGCGTGACCTCCAGAGCGGCGTCGTCTTTGCTGACCTCATAGAAATCATTTGTAAGTGGACGGGGCAGCGCCTTGTGACATTGTTCTGCATCGTGTACAATACTTTGTGTTTCTTAGCTAGTTCTGCCAACTGTATGACCGATACGTTTATATTATGAGAAACAGTAGATTATAATGAGTAAATATAGTTATTCATTATCACTGGTATAATGTTGATAATTACTGTAAACTTCAACTTGAAATAAAATTATTGGTAATGTACATGTATTCAAGTATACTGTACATGATTGCACACACACACACACACACACACACACACACACTCTCTCTCTCTCTCTCTCTCTCTCTCTCTCTCTCTCTCTCACATTCCCCCTTCCGGATCAACAGCAGGGGAGCGAGTGGCAGGCATCACCAAGGAGACAGAGAACAGCAGCAGCCCACAAATGATGCGAGAGAACCTGGAACGGATTCTACAGTTCATGGCAGCGAAGAGGATCCGAATGACGCACATCACCAGTAAAGAGGTGACGGAGGGGAACCTGAAGAGCATCATGCGGATCATCTTGGCCTTGGCGGCGCACTATAAGCCCCAGAGTGTCAAGTCCCCGCCTCACCACCAGGACCCCGCCTCCGTAGCCTCCACTACAAGGAGCTCCTCCCAACCCACCACACATGGTACCTACAGCCTTGTGGTACTTCCTGGGTCAATGTTAGGGCATTCTGGGCAATGTTAGGTCACCCTGGGTCATGTTTGGTCACCCTGAGTCATATTAGGTTACCCTGAGTCATGTTAGACCACCCTGGGTCATGTTAGGTCACCCTGAGTCATGTTTGGTCACGGGGTTATTTTAGGTCACCCTGGGCCATGTTAGGTCACCCTGGGTCATGTTTGGTCACCCTGTTGCCTGATGATTAAACGCCCTAACGCTAACTTATCCTAATCTAACGAAAGTTTACCTAATTTAGCCTAACCTAATTTAACCTAAACTAATCTAACCTAACCAACCCTAACCTAATCTAACTTACCTCAATTTAGCCTAACCTAATCTAACCTAACCTAACACCCCGTGTAGCATTAGTGTTTAATCATCAGGTGAAATAGGCTGGAGTGCCAAATCTTCACGTGAACCCATTATTGAGCGTTACAGATGGTGTTAGTATCAATATGTTGCTCTTCCCCAGCAGACGTTGGCGTGGGGCCGGACGCGCCCTCCTCCGCCCCGGAGAAGACGCCAAACCTGAGTGCCAACAGGCGGGCCATCGTGACGAGCGGCGGGGGCGACGACCCTGGGGCTATGATGGGCTTACGTCGTCACCCCAGCATGACAGGCGCCCCAGCCACGCCCCGGGACTCCTCCCCCGTCTACGAGAACCTCCCCAGGAGAGTCGCTCCCAATCGGTGGGCGTATGACTCCCTCAGAGCCTCTCACAAGTTCCAGTGGTCAGGGCCTCACGCGCACCGCTCTGGCCCTCCCTCCGTTCCGCCCAAATCCAACCTTGATGAATCCTCAGACGACCCCCTTAACACATCGTTTAACACATCCCTTAATACGTCTCTGGAGGGTGAGGTGGAGGTGTCGCCAGGTTCACGGAGCAACACGCGGCCGGCGGCCTTAAATTTCTGGCAGGATCTGACCAACCGACGCGACTCTGTCAACACTCCGCCAGACTCTCACCCTCCACCCCCGCCCTCACAGCCGCCTCCTGATGACCCCGACAACCCCTTCAGGTAAGCAGCTGGGACAATGCGGTGGTAAAACTCTTCCTTATTTCACTGAAAGTTTTTGTACGTCACAAAACGTTAAATTTCTTTCATTCGTGTGCGTTACCAGCAACAATAAAACTGTATATACTGTACATCAGGATAACAAGCACTGATATTTACCGCAGGATCAAACAATCAAGCAAAGTACCGTCCTCATATCTGAGGGTTGGCGACCACAGTCCTCCACTCTAAACGTTTTCGGGATGTTTTTACCAATCCTCAAGTTGTTGCATCTCTCTGAGCATCCAGTTTTAATTCCATTCACCCATCTCAGTCTCCGCCTCCCGCTGGCCCTCCTACCATCAACTTTGCCCATTAATATTTGTTTTATTCCCTCATCCATTAATTATATGACCAAAGTATCTAAAAATAATACTGTAAATTTCAATTATTTCTCTTGACATCTTTGCATACCTTAGTACTTCTTCATTCGTTTTATTGCCAGGATAATTTATTCTTAACATTCGCCTATAACACCACATTTCAAAAGCCTGCTGAAAGTGTCCACGCTTCTGACCCATACAAGAGTCCTGACCCTATGTAGCCTTTCAGCAGACCCTTTTCTCTTAAATTGAAGTGAATGTCCCTTTTCATGAGGTCTTTCAGATTATTAAATGCTGATTAACAAACCCTGAACACTAGAGAATTACCTTTATATCGTTTTTCTCAGTTATGGTGAGCTAAATTATTATAATTCCAACTTCATGGTAATAGCGGCATCACTCTATAATCCCTTAGGTAAAAAAGAGACAACCAGCAGTAGTTTAGCTCCTCACTTCGCGGTAACACTTCTTTAACTCTAAGGTTAGTAATAACTTCAAGAGAAATACTTTATATTTACAGAAGCAAAAGTGATATACTTTGGTCATATAATTATGGACGAGGGAATAAAAAAAATATTAATGGGCAAAGTTGATGGTAGGAGGGCCAGGGGGAGGCGGAGACTGAGATGGGTGAATGGAATTAAAACTGGATGCTCAGAGAGATGCAACAACTTGAGGATTGGTAAAAACATCCCGAAAACGTTTAGAGTGGAGGACTGTGGTCGCCAACCCTCAGATATAAGAACGGTACTTTGATTCATTGATTGTTTGAACCCTTTAGGGGGCTGAGAGTTATCCTGGCTGAATAAAATCGTCCGTCATTAGCCACAATAAAATACCTAATGGCTACAGTGCCCTCTAAATAGTTCAATTCTTATTCTTCGGTGGAGTTTACAGGAAGACCCAACAGTATGGTAACCTCACTCCTCCTTCAACAGGTACCACACCATACACCGGATGAGTGGCCGGCGAAAGTTGCCACAGATCCCCGGGGCTGCGGGTCCGGGCAGCAGAGTCACCACCCCACAGGAGGGTAAGGAGAGTCCCAGAGGCCCCGAAGACTCTCCTCTGAATCGCAGTGACGAGAGGCCAGGCGGGAGTGTGGGTGACGAAGGGTCACGGGAACCTGAGGGCCGCAGTCAAAATTCTTCCCCAGCCACGAGCCTCGTCCGGGGGCCCACCCTGGACCAGTGGCCCAGAGAGAAGAACCCGCTGGACCCGTGGGAGCAGGAGGACCTGAAGGGCGTGTTGCGAGACCTGAACAATACCAGGGACCAGCTGCTAGCCCTCCAGAACCTGGTGAGTACTACCCAACCTTTACTCGTACCAGCTGGGAAAAATATTAAACATTATCCCTTAAAATTGTCATAAGGGAACAAACATTACTAGGTACTGATGTTTGCTGTGCTGGGTTTTTTCCCAGCTGTTGTACCTGACAGTTATCTCTTGGTGGCTGGATTATTTCCCTCTGTGGGAGAGAACAATAAGCATGTTGACTACTAACAGTATAACTCTTAAGTCACAGAAATTATCAGATTAATGTGCTCTCTGACGTCCAGCTCAAGAGTACGTATTGGTCATGTGCACTCTGACCTTAACCATCTGACCTGCAGGACGAGATGATGACCTCTGGACTTTATCCCGTAATAACTTGTTGTACTCAAGCTTTACACCTAACTACTCTGATGGTATTTTAACCTTCAAATATTTACAAAAGGCATAAAAGCTACAAACTCGAGTTAAAAATGGTTTTGTACAGACGTGAAATATATGCACAGATGTAAACAATGCGTAGGAGTAGCAAGGGGCAGGTGGTGTGTTGTGTGTTTATGTTGACATTTAATAAACACACTGAGCTTACTGACCTTAAAATACCCGTGTCTGTTATGTCTCTCAGGGTGAAACATGAGAGACCATTGCCATAAGCCACTGATAAACCATAAGCTTTATCAGTCATCGTCCGGTAGCCTTAACACAGCGAGTTCTTCTGGCTAACTAGATACAACGTTTAGTCTTTAACTTTCTGGACATTAGTACACGATGCTGAAAGTGACTTTATTATATTTAAGACGTCCTTCGCTGCCTAAATACTAAAGTAAGGTTAGATTAGCATAGGTTAGGTTAGGTTAGCTATGTTAGTACAGAGTTATTACATTATATTTTGTTTTATGTTTATGTAAATAGCTGCTGCTGTGGATATCGAATCCCTAGAAAGCATACAGAGGAGAATGAAAAGACTAATCTCGGGCCATTCGGAACCTTGAGCATAACTATTCTCTAATAACACTTCCCTGGATACTTGTTGATAAGGAAAAAGATGTAGGCGTCGCGGTAGACCAATCATTGAAGCGGGAGCAGCAGCAGTGAGAAAAGACAACCGAAATATAGGAATTATAACTCGTACCTTCAAATACAATGATAGGAAATGCTCTCGTGCGTCCCAAACCCAACCTCCAGAAAGAGTTTAACATCCCTGGAAAAGGTGCAACATAGAGCAACTAAGATGATTCCTGAACTACATCATCTCGAATAGCCAAGTAGATTGAGTACTGCAGAAGTAAAGCTAGATCATACAGGGCGAGTTTACAGAACTACTTGACCTGTGGAATAGTCTACCAGCACAAGACGGGGAAGTAACAGCAGTCGGTGGCATCAATAATAGCCCTTGACAAAACTTATCAAGAACACACGCCACTGCTCTTCCCTCGGCACGGCTACCTCCAGTGGGTGGCTTTTTGGTAAATAAGATAAATAAGTAGCTGGGTGAGACTGACACTAAGTGACGGTTCAGACAGAGGAACTATAGAGACTAGCGGGTCATTTTACGGAGCGAGGAGGAGGAGGAGGAGGGGAGTTACCGCATCCCAGGTGCTGACCACAAACATCCCCCCACCCCTTCATCATATACCCGACCCACACCACCATCCCCCCACTGTGCACTTCACTGTAATGTCGTGTGCTTTATCTTCCTGTAATTACGCTTACTGTAATGTGAAAAATATTTTGAAATAATAATAGCGGTTGAGAGGGGATGAGGGTTAGATAACAGGAGATGACAATGGTGGGGCACCTCGCCAAAATAAGAACGGTCAGTTACAAAAGGCATGTGTACGTCGCCCATGGCTCACCCTGATGGAGGCCCGATACCGTGTTGTATAGTGTTGTGACGAAGGTGGTTTCTACCAGTGGTCGTGCAAGCTTTACAATAATATATTCATTATCCTAATTATAAATTATTCTAGAGTTAATGACTTAAGCTCAACGTAGAGTGGCTTTATGAGAGTCTTAATATCGGGGTTGGTGTCAGGAGGTACGAGCCGCCACCAGTATTTTCTAAATATCCCCAAACTCTGTTTCATCATATTTCTAACACATTCAACCTCCAGGGTTTGTCTAATTTAATACAAATTGACATATAAAAATAAATTCTTTCAATTGGAATACTAAAATAAATCCTAAAATCCGTCAACAATAAGCGTAGTTGGTAACTGTGCGCCTGGAACCTGGCCCCACTGGAAGCCAGGCGGCCACGATGACGAGACTCACACCAGTGAAGGGCAGAGGCGGTCGGGTACGCTCGGGTACTGTCGTCTTAACTTACAGGGAAAACATCACTAAGCCTCCAATTATCCTGTTTTGTACGAGAAACAAATGGAATTAACAGTAGTGAAGTTCTCTGCCAGTGACAAACTATAAGAAAATAACAGAGTATTTTGTTTCGCGACGAGGACAGATCTTACCTGAACTTAAGAGCTGTTAACAGTAATTACCAAGTGCGGTTGTTGTATTGGGCCACAAGTGTCTGACAACTTTTAGAAAACTATGTAATGTGTTGTGATGAGTGTGAACACCCGTAGTACTGGGGAACACCTGGAGAGTTACTGATTAACACGGGAGTGAGCAGCGAGTGGTAGTAACAATGATGAAGAAGAGTAAGAAAGGAAAGGTGGACGACGTCAGTGTGTTACGTTGCTAGGACACTATCCTTAATGTTTACGTCTCATAGGCTGTGAATGATATGTAGAGTAAACCATGCTGTTACAGTATTGAAGTTTGTCATCAAGTCTAATTATTTCTTGTAACGGTTATCCATTACCCCATACTTAAAGTTTTAAAGTTACAATTAAGTTACACCAGTTTACAGTTTGGACTACTGAGGCAACGTTGTTTCTAGATATACTGCATTATCATTTATTGCTGCTGTTAATGATTCCCACAGTAAACATATGATAAACACAAGACAAGACCTGGGCTCGTACAATAGGTTACTTCCTTAATATTTCCCACATCCTTCCCCCCATAAAGTAGGTCAGGTTGCAATGTTGAGCGTTAGTGGATGTTGTCCCCCAATGTTAGTGTTGTGTGGACTAGTTCGGGTACTCTTGAGGTAAAGGCTCACGTCCGCACTATTGTTTTCAACGACCCTAACTCACTCTTAAAGATATCCGGCCACACGTGACCTATGCAGGCTGCCGCGCCCGTTACACCCGGCCTGCTGTGTACCGTAAACAAGAGCTTCGTGTTATGTAGATGTCTGTATATTCACATTCTAATGACCGTCGTTATTTATTGGCAAGTGGTTGTGTTGGCGAGACAGGTGCTGTGTATTGCGGGAGGTCCTTCTAGCGGGGTCCCCGGTGCCGGTGAATGAGCGTGGGAATTGCAACTTTATTCAAAGTTTTACCTGGACAGCGACCTTCTCAGAATGTATCGACCATTCTTGTTGCACTCAACGCCCGCTACTCACGTCACTGAATAATATACGAAAATAACCAATTTGAATATTTTTCCTTGTCGAGTATTAACTACTTAAATAATACATTTCAAGTCATAAAATTATAAAATGTACTGAAATACATTATAAATATGATCTATACGTTGAGGAAAAAACTACCATGCAATACTCAGTCCACCACTTAACCCACCCCACCTGGACCCTTTTCTTGTACTGTATTGACAATGGCAACAGATAACATCTTTATAGCCATCCTCCCTCCACCTCTTCACCCACGTAGTCCTCTTCTATTGATGCTATTGATCTTGGTGGACAAGAAACCGTGGCGTGGTGCGACGTCGATGAAACAGAAAACGGAAATAATTTAGTTACCCAGAACTTCCGGTGAGAGAGTAACGTTTTTTATTACTGGTATAGAAAGCTTATTGTGACAGCTGTTTTCCCGCCGTTTATACTTGAAGATATTAATAACGAAGTATTTATAATTATTAAATACTTTTAGTTAACGTTTTAGCCCCGTGATATATCGTGGATGATTGTCCACTCTGAAAAATGTGGAGAAAACGCTCAACACTGAATTAGGGTGGTGTCGATTATAAGTTCTTGTATCCCGTTTTATGTTGTAAGCGTTGACGAGTGGCAGTCTTCTATACCAGCACCCCCTGTAGCCCTCCACCTCTCTTAACCACTCATACTGTCAATGTTTATTATCTATCAGTATGGGGCAAAGGCGAAGGAGTTTTGTTTTCATCATTGCACATACATATATATGCACGTAAATGTAGACTAATTAGAGAGATGTCCAGGTAGTAGCGTAAAAAAAAATATTGTGAATGTGGGTTAAACTCTGCTTCAATTCTCACGTAAGACTTCCTGGAATTTCCCTGCCGTGTGTGTGTATCTTTAAAGCTGTCAACTTCAACCAAAAACATTCCCCAAACTTTAAGCTTCCTCCCCTTTAAGTGGCGGTAGAGAACGCACCAGGATACAGTGGGCCCAAACTCAACTCCATAGGTGAGACATGCGTTCTCACGTCACTTGATGGAATAATGATCATATTAACAAGTTCTTAAGGATGGTCTGGTGTGTTGGGCAGGTAGTGGGTTAGTGAGGGCGGAAGGGAGGTGTATTGTCACCGCGGCCTTAAATATGTAACACTTGGCCAGTCGATACTCGTCTCCCTCCACCCCCAGCCTCACGCTGCAGGTAGTTCTGCTGTTGTGTTGCTGCAGATAGTTCTGCTGCTGTGTTGCTGCAGATAGTTCTGCTGCAGGCAGCTCTGCTGCTGTGTTGCTGCACATAGTTCTGCTGCTGTGTTGCTGCAGATAGTTCTGCTGCTGTGTTGCTGCAGATAGTTCTGCTGCTGTGTTGCTGCACATAGTTCTGCTGCTGTGTTGCTGCAGATAGTTCTGCTGCTGTGTTGTTGCTGCACTGGCAGTTCTGCTGCTGTGTTGCTGCAGGCAGTTCTTCTGCCGTGTTGCTGCAGGCAGCTCTGCTGCTGTGTTGCTGCAGGCAGTTCTGCTGCTGTGTTGTTGCAGGCAGCTCTGCTGCTGTGTTGCTGCAG